CGCGTCGATGCACGTACCATCAGTGCATCCGAAGTCACCGTCTCCGCATGGCTTCAGAGCTACTTTCCATTATTTCAGTCACGAGTCAGAGAATTCATTGGAGCATTTAATATGAAATGACGTTCGACTTTACTCACGGCAGTCCGTTTCATCCGATGCGTCAGGACAGTCTCTCGTCCAATCGCACCGCCGTCGCACGTTGATGCACGTCCCGTCCCTGCACGTGAACTCGTCCTTTCGACACGCTGGGGAACAACTCCTTCAATTTATTGTAAGATCTACGAATTTAAATTTCTATTTTGAAATGCAATTTTTTTTGGGAAGTGACCCCCAGTGTTCGATCTCGTCCGAACCGTCGCGACAATTCCGATTCCTGTCACAGCGTCATCACACATCGATTTACGTCCCATCGCGGCATGTAAACTCATTCTCTCGACAATCTAAATCGTCGTCAAAGAGCTTCATCAAATATCCGCTTCGATTCATTTGCGATTCCCTTCCAAAATAAACTCACAGCAATCGACCTCGTCCAACCTGTCCAGTCAAAAATTTTCGTTGGTTTATCTTCTGGCCATAGCTGGGAGAGTTTGCCTATTTTCGGTGAATGATTGGCCGGCCAACTCATACTTGTGAGTCACTTGGGAGTTGGCCGGCAAATCATTCGCCGAAGATGAGCCAATATGGTTGAGAAGGTTCTGTAAACCGGCGAGAGATGGAGCTAAAGTGTTCGTAGTGGGGAGTCACTTCCGGGATACCATTGAAGTGAGTCCCCTGTCTCTTTAACATGGTTCCCAATGGTTTCTCACATAGATCTCTGAGGATGACAATGGAATTCCTTTAAACTTTTCTCTGAAGATGTAACATAGCTCTGGAATAAACCAGGAAATTCCGGTCCGGAGGTCCGTGGGAGGAACCATCTACATTCCATAATAGGCCACGTCACAATATTTTCTCCAATTACAGACGTTGTTTTCTGCGTCCTTTTTGATGCATGGTGTGTCACCTATGGGTAGACAGACACCCTTGCATTTACTTGTGATTCCTCTTTTGGGTGACACATCATTTGCATGTTATTCTTATCTCTCCAAGATGCATAATGCTGCTGTTGCAGATTATGTATTCGTTTTTTTTTCCGTAACTTTTCACCATTGTCAAAAGTCTGCCGATGGTTGGGGCATAAGCGGTTTCCCAACAATGAGCCGAAGTTGGCCAAGTGAAGGACCAGCAGGACATGCCTGACCATAAGCCGGCTTAAACCAACCATATGCCAGTTAAAGCCCAATTAAGGCTTATATACGAAAAGACGAAAAACCATCCATGGCGAGATGAAAAATTGTCTGGGCATCGATACGGTTTCGATTCTCATTAAAGCGTAGACTCGCGTCGACGCACGTTCCATCGATGCACGCTAGGGAGCAACTCCTTCAATTTAGTCAATATATCAATATTTACAGATTCGTACTAGTGCCGAAAACACGGCGTGCAAAAATCGCAGAAAACACCGACTTCACATTCGATTTCGTCGGACCCGTCCTCGCAGTCCTCGACGGTGTCGCAGCGCCGATCCGCGTCGATGCACGCTCCGTTCCCGCACGTGAACATACCCTCCGCACACGCTGCATCATCGAGTTCCTCTTATTCAGCCGGGAGTCTGACGACGGACCGAGAAGATAAGAATCGACTTTGAACTTACGGCATCCTCTTTCGTCGGAGCCATCGGGGCAATCATCGTAGGAGTCGCACTTGTACTTGATCAGGATACAACCGCCCATATCGCATCGGAATTGTTCCGTGGTGCACCCTACATACGTATCGTACCAAGACTAGCAATGTACACGTGCACCAATTCCAGAATGACAAGCAGAACTCCACTGTCATCTAAGAAACCCTGTGTTTCTTAAAGTAAAATTATTTTAAATATAATTACTTTCCAATTCGATCATTCGTTCTTTCCTTGAATTTTGACAATCTTCCAATATGGAAATCATATTTTTTACAGAAATTTATCGTAAATTTATGCGTTTGAGTTTCCTATTGTGTGGAATTACGCGAATCCGGTCTTGTCCTTACCCTGAGGGCATCCAACTTCGTCAGATCCGTCGTTGCAATCGCTTTTCCCATCGCATCTCTGGGTCAACGGGATGCAAACCCGATTGTAACAAGTAAATTCCTGTTGTCCGCACGATGCCCCTGTATCTGCTGCAATTACACCCGCCCTCACGTAATCACCGTGCATAATACCCACCGAGAATTAATGACTCATGTGCGGACTCACGGCAGTCCAGTTCGTCGGATCCGTCCGAGCAGTCCTTCCTCCCCTGTATCTGCTGTAATTACACCCGCCCTCACGTAATCACCGTGCATAATACCCACCGAGAATTAATGACTCATGTGCGGACTCACGGCAGTCCAGTTCGTCGGATCCGTCCGAGCAGTCCTTCCTGCCGTCGCAATACGCGTCTGCGTCCACGCACTCCCCGTTCCGACACAAAAACTCTTCGACGCGACACGCTGCAAACATTCGGGCAAATGGCAGTCCAGTTCGTCGGATCCGTCCGAGCAGTCCTTCCTGCCGTCGCAATACGCGTCTGCGTCCACGCACTCCCCGTTCCGACACAAAAACTCTTCGTCGCGACACGCTGCAAACATTCGGGCAAATTTATCTTTCCCTACCTTTTTATGCGAGGGTTCCATTTTTGACATATTGATTTCAGACACTCACGGCAGCCTTTTTCGTCCGAACCGTCCGAACAGTCCGGTTTCCCGTCGCATCGGGATAATTTATGGATGCAAGTTCCATCATCTTCACATGTAAATTCCGAGTCTCTGCATGCTATATCACAACCATAAATTCAACTGATTTCTTTTTAAATAGAACCATGCAATGGACACTGATTAACTAAACTTCACGTCAACGATCACAACTATTCTTGCCAGAAACCAGTTAAGAAGTTCTTGCTATGACTTTTCAGGTGCTTTTTCAAATACGCATACAATTTCATGCAAAAAAGAAATCAAGAAAAGAGACAGAGAGAGAGAGGGAGCCGTCAACGCGTCCATCATTGAAATCAATCGGATCCCTGCTGCAAATTTCGGGAACCTACCACAGCCGGCCTCATCGGACCAATCGGAGCAGTCGGGATATCGATCGCACCGACGTCGCTCGTCGATACAAGTCCCATCACCGCATCGAAATTCCCCTTCCCGACAAGCTACTCACGCACACACACCACAAACAAATCATACCATGCAAAATTAACCAAGCAATTCACTCTGTTAAAAGGATTAAGAACTCACTGCAGCCCCGTTCGTCGGTCCCGTCGCGGCAGTCGTGATACCCGTCGCACCTTCGTCGCACGTCGATGCAGGTCCCGTCCGAACACGCAAATTCATGCAGGTCGCACCCTGAACACGACATGGTTACTTCATTCCAAGTTTTAAAAACTTTTTTTTTTTACTGAAAAAATTTTTTTTTCGTTCTCACCGCATCTCTGTTCGTCAGATCCGTCAGGACAATCGTAAAACGAGTTGCATCGCCTTCGTTCGTCTATGCAAGTCCCATCTGTGCATCTGAACTGATCCCTTCGACAATCTCCTACGGA